CCATTTCTATACTTATTTTTTGTTGCACAAGTAGGTTTTTCGAGACTACCAGTAGATCAGATATAAAGGCCATATTCACCCGACTTCAACTTTTGAGGTTTGCGAAGGACTGGTAGTTGAATTCGTCCACAATCAAGTTAGTAAGCCTCATGGTTCCATTTGAGTCGACATATCCTTGCTTGCTAAAATGTTTTCTTATCCAGTTTTTTTAATAATTACCGTCTTACCCAGTTGCCTCTTTATCTCATAATCTTTCAGTTTTCTTTACAGTTTTTGTAATTGGCAAAAATCCCGTACATTTCCAGTTTTATATTTCCCTGTCTCTAATCAGCAACCCTTCCTTCAGGAGATAGTCTCCATTTTGTCCTTCTGTAGGCCCTACGTTTCCAGTGCATTTCACATGAGAATACATTTTGGCAAGCAATGGTATGCAAACTGTAATGGAAGCATGTGGGACATGCAACTATCAGTCCTTTATCACGATACATGAAATAAGATGAATACAGATCTTATATCAGAAATACTTATTATTGTCAAGGCATATAAGCTTCATCTGACTACGTACAGAACAAATCATAAGTCTGCTCATGATGATTTGAGGGAAAATCTTACTTTTTGCAATTAATTTCACATTCATATGAAATGTATTTACCCTATTTCGTTTAAGGGTATGAAGAACTGCTAGTACAATGTTTTCCACAACGTTTCCATTGCTTGGCAAAAGTTGTTCTCATCCCGGCTGGAGTGGACTGCAGTTTCGACCCTGCCTCGTCCAGCGGGAGTCGAACCATGATCGTGCCGCATGTCAGCTTGACACGTCAACCACTCGGCCACATTGCCACGTCTGCCCTTGGGCCACAGGGCCGATGTGAACTTCAAAGAAGGATGAACACATCACATATCACTGATTGACTGGTAGTCTCAATACGCCAGTTACACACGAAACAAAAATTTCCCAGTTGCAGGCATTACACACAAGACTGTTCCCATCCTCAGATTCAACTGTAGTCACTATCTCGCCTAATCGCGTTAATAAACTTTGAACATGCCAACTTGGAGGCAAACACTTCCGCCCATAAACCACACAACCCCAACCCCATTCGTTCATCCCCGAGTCGACAAATCTAGTCCCGCAAGAACGGGGACTTGTAGATGAATTTGGTCACAATTTTATTTGTAGGCCCAACATTTCCATTTGATGCTAAATTGTTTTCCCATCCAGATGAGTTAATAATTCCCGTTTTTCCGGTTGCTTCTTCACTTCATCATTTTTGCGTCAAGTTAAAAGCTTTTCCAACTGCTAAAAGCCCTCTAAATGGCCAGATTTTTCTCTTCTTGCCTCCCTCCTCTACCCTCCCTCCATCAGGTGATAGCCTTCATCTCCGTCTCCTTCATCGTGGTCTCCATCCTGTCCTTCTGCCTGAAGACGTTCCCCTCCCTTCAGACGCCGGCTCTCGTCAACCAGACGTTTGTAATTGACTCAGCTCTGACTAAGCGACCCTCATTTGTCGATGGCTACCACCAATTCGGCCAGCCGCCGGGTTTCCGGGAGAACCGATCCGTCAGTCCTCCATCAGTTGTCCCCGCTTCCGGCATTTTGGCGCCGTCGGCCGATCCGAACCCGCGGAGCCTGACGAGGCGTGACTCTGTCGCGGCGTCCGTGACGGCGTCGAACCAAGCCGCTCTGGCCAGGCCGGTTCGGTACGCCGGAAATGGGGCGGGTCGCGGCAAGACGAGTCCCGTCGACGAGGCGTCGGGCGACGGCATCGACTGGGACGTGGCCGTCGGCCATTTCGACACGACTCGCAGCCTTGATCAGTCCGCGGCTCGAGTCCCGGCGCCCGGCCGGATCGGCTGGACGCTGGAGAAGAAGCGGACCAAGCCACATGACGCTTTCGGCTACATCGAAGGCGCCTGCAACACTTGGTTCACTCTGGAGCTCGTCATCCGCTTCATCGTGAGTCCCAGTAAACTGCGCTTCGTGCAGAGTCCCGTCAACGTGATCGACTTTGTCGCCCTCGTCTCCTTCTATGCCGACCTCCTGTTGACCCGCTTCTCCGACGTCACCAACAAACGGGGCTACGAGATGGTCGAGTTCTTCTCCATCATACGAATCATGCGCCTATTCAAGCTGACTCGTCATATCGCCGGACTCAAGATTTTGGTGCACACCTTCAAGGCCAGCATGAAGGAGTTGACCCTGCTAGTCTTCTTCCTACTCGTCTTCATCGTCATATTCGCCGCCCTCATGTACTATGCCGAGGCTCTGCAGGGCAACCCGGACAACCATTTCGACTCGATTCCAATCGGTCTCTGGTGGGCCATTGTCACTATGACGACGGTCGGATATGGTGACATGGTGCCAAAAACCTACATGGGTCGGTCAGGCATCAAGAATTTTACATTTTAACTAAATTGTCTAGACTATCACCAGATCGTGACTGAGCATTGACTTCAGTCTATTTCTTTAAGAGGACAAAGAACAGGTAGCCTCATGCTTCCAAAAAGCTTTTTTTCATTGAGTCTATTTATAAACAAAAATAAGTAGTGCAGTCGAATGCATTGGCAAATAGAAATATGCTCCATCGAAACTCGATATATGCGAAGCAAAGTCGCGTTTCGAGGAATCTCTAGTTTTATAAGTGTTGAAATTACTTGCATTTTTAGTGGTAGATTTCTCTCAAACTGCAGTCTCAAAATTGTCGTTTTGCTGATGATGGTATGTCTGCGAATAGACGTAAAATTATAGTAGCCATAGAAATAAACAGAAAAAGGCAACACATTTAGTGCAAGGGATACCGGCAAGAAGTAAAATTAAAACAAATTT